CCTGCCCCCTCCCGCCCCTCCTACTCCCCCTGTTCCTCCCGGTGGTCAGCTGTTTGGGGCTGGGGGCTGGCCTCAGGCCAACCTGCCAGTCGCTGGCCCTCTGACCCACAGCAGACAGAAGGCTTCCGGAGGCGCTGGTTCACTATGGACGACCGGAGGCTCATGTACTTCAAGGACCCCCTGGTAAGGCAGGGCCATGGCCCAGGTCGGCTGGGCCCCTGCAGGGTGGACGTGCCTCCTGCTCCTGTCACCCAAGACGGAACAAGCACCCAAGTGGCAGCTCTGCTGTGAGGGAGGGGGATGGCTCTCGGGGTCCTAGGCCCCTGGGCCTCACCCAGCTCTACACAGAGCTGGGCCTGGACAGGGAGCTGCCCTGAAAACAGTCCTCATGGCTCCCATGTCCCGTGGGGGGTGGGGTGGACGGGGGGCTGGGGCCCCCGACTGGCTCAGCCTGTCCCCACCCACAGGATGCCTTCGCCCGAGGGGAAGTCTTCATCGGCAGCAGTGAGAGCGGCTACACAGTGCTGGACAGGCTCCCGCCTTCCACCCAGGGCCACCACTGGCCTCACGGCATCACCATTGTCACGCCGGAGCGCAGGTTCCTGCTGGCCTGTGAGACGGAGCTGGAGCAGCGGGCGTGGGTGGAGGCCTTCCGGCAGGTGGTGGACAGGCCCATGCTGCCCCAGGAGTACGCAGGTGAGGGCCGGGCAGGCTGGCCGGGCGGGCCTGAGCCCGGCACCCCTGGGTGGCTGTGACAGCCGGGCCCCTGTCCCTTTTCCAGTGGAAGCCCACTTCAAACACAAGCCCTAGCAGGAGACGGTCCTGGAGGCCGAGGACGTGGACCACTTGACGTGGCTGGCGAGGCGGCGGGGGCTGCACTGTGGGGTCTGCCGACAGAGGAAGCCAGACATCCGGCCCCGGCCCCGGCCCCGAGGGGCAGCCCAGACACGGCTGGGGGCCTGAGCTGCAGCCACCAGGACCTGTTTCTCTAGAACCTCATTGTGGGCCGAACTGGCCTGACCTCCGACCCCGTCATGCTGCTGTCCCTCCCTCCCTGCCCACTGAACACCCTTCCTGAGGGCCTGGCCGCCCAGACGCCCCTCACTGAGCCCCCTGCCACCACTCACCTGGGCAGGAGCCGCCCGACGAGGCTGGACTGTGGGGACAGCGGGCGGCCTGCATGCCTCCCCGCGCCGCCCGCCTCCCCCAGCAAGCACTGAGTATCTGCCCTGGGGTCAGGGCCCCCACCTGGTGCCCCAGCCCAGCCCTCCAGGCTGCCTGCCCCAGCCCCTGGGGCCTCACATGCCCAGTTCAGGGCTCGGTGCTGCCCGGCGACCGCCCCTTCCCCGGCCTGACCTTGCTGTCTTTGAACCCTTGGGATGATGGACTGAGCCCAGCTGACCCCGCTGTGCTGTCCTTGAGGAGTTGCAGCCCCGACTTCCCCAGGTGCCTTGGCTCCATGGCCCTTGCGGGGGTGGGGGTGGGGGTGACAGCACGTTCCAGAGGAGGGGGATGGCATGGGCCCTTTCCCAGGAGGCCAGAGCCTGGCTGAGGTGGAGACACCTGCCAGATCACCTGGGTAGCCTCCAGCCGCCCCCCTCCCCGTCCTGCCCAGCCATGACCCCCAAGGGAGCCTGGGTCCAGGAGTCCCCCACCCTGTGAAACATCCTGAAATATATGAGGCCCGGGTGTAGCTTCATCGGCGTGTTGGGAGACTGGTGGGGGGCTCTGGCCACCCCAGGAGGACCTGCCTACTGGCCTCTGACACAAGCCAGGAAAGGGGAAACACCCCAGGACCAGTGCCCAAGGGCCTTAGCCTAACTTCATGGGCCCAGCTCCCGTGCCTGTTACCCAGGTGTAGGTGGGGGGACTAGGGAGCCGTCCTCTCCCCCCCACTCTCCAACTCCTGCTGGCCAGTTCAGACCAGTTGTAAACCTAGACTAGGGGTGCTGCAGAGGGCCCCCCGTTCCTGCTAAGCTCAGCTACACTGGCCAGGGCCGGGCCCTCCGGATGGCCAGGCTGGGGGTGAGGACAACCCCTGGGGAATGAACACGTCCTGCCCTGAGAGGTGCCCCAGCCCAGGGGGACTGCCAGTTTGCCCCTCTCCTTAGACCCCAGGCCGCTGCTGCAGCCACACTGGACACCGCCATCCACTCTCAGTGACAGACGATGAAGACTTGAGCCCAAGAGGCAGGAAGATCATTGGAGGGAAACCCTGAGGGGCCCTACCGTGCAGGTCAGGCGGCACCCCCTGCCCTCCTGGACTGACCTGGACCCTGCACCGAATCCAGAGGTGCAGGCACCGCTCTGCAAGTGCGTGTGCGTGAGCTTGTGTGTGTGCGAGTGACCGCACACCCATGTGTGGTGCCTGGAAACCGACAACCCTCACATTTCAGCAAGAAATGGGAGGACAGGGTTAGGACTGGGGGGGTAGGGGACTTGCCCACACAGGGCTGGTGGACAGCGCCACTCCATCCTGGTCCTCTGGCAGAGGGGTCAGTGCAGGCCCTGGGCAGGCAGCTGTCCTGGCCTTGGCCTCGTTGACCAAGTCCTGCTCACCAGGCCCCAAGGTGGAGGAAATGCAGGGACACACGGACAAACGCAGCCGGATGTCTGTTTCCAGGAAGTGTCTGCGCCACTTACAGACCCGAGGGGACTGCTGCAGGCCCGGTGCTGAGTGGTCAGGACAGTCAGCTGTGAGTAAACTGCACTCCTCCCAGCAGGAGGGTCACCGGGACCAAGCGAAGGTGGGACAGATCCCACGTGAAGGCGGCGCCTGTCCCACATGGCTGCTCAGCTGGCTTTAGTTCGTTGAGTTAATCCTGGGCACAGTCCCACATGAAAACCTGCATTCTACTCCAACTACCCCCAAACGTATCCACCCGTCGGGTGTAATTCATGGTTTCAAACCGGGCAGGTCTGAGGGCATTGTCGTGTTCAGACCCTACACATCACCCTCCCATTCCCCACCATCATGCTCCCTGGAGAACCCCTGGTGCCTGCTGGGGGGGGGGGGCTCCAACCTCAGGGTGCAGGTCAGCGTCCACAACCACCGCGGCCCATCTCAGAAGCTGTGCCCTCGAACCTGTTGGCAGATTCGGTTTCTCCACACAAACGGAACGAGACTTCCCCACATGGCTCTGTGCTGCCTCCACTCCACCCGCCACGGTCACAGCCCCCCTCCCGGCTGGGGTTCATAGGTGTCTGTTCGGCAGCCCAGCCCCACAGCCCTGCCCCAGGAGCTCACTCAGAAAGGACCAGTGCTGCAAAGCCCAGTATAAAGAATTTATTTAAACTCAACAATTAACACAAGCCTCCCTTTAAATTCCATTTTTACAGTAAATAGTCTGTTTCGCTCCTTCCATGCATGATCACTGTGTATTAATCTACAACTCTCCTTTTAATTGTGAAAAAATAAAGTGTGTCCCGTCTCAATCATCCCGGGAACATCTGGTAGAGCACGTGAGGAAGGACAGAGCTGCGCCGCTGGACGGGCTATTTGGTTAAGACCTAGACCGTCAGGTGGAAGGAATCGTCACCCATGGAATAAATATTGCATCAGAGGTGGAAGTCCTACAGCCTCCGGATGTCTGCATGGTGCCACAGCACAGATGTGGGTGTGGCTGCAGGCCGTGGCTTCTGGGATTTGGCACGGAGCAGCAGCCCAGGCCGCCACGGACGTCCACATGGGGCTGGCCCGACGGCAGCCACCCCCGACCCTGGTGCCTGTGTTGGCCCTTGGCACCCAAAGCAAACCAGAAACAAAGGACCGGGAGAGGGTGGTGGCACGCAAGCCTGTGCTTTATTGTGGGTCAATCTGAGGCCACGGCCATGGCTACGGCTGCCCCGCCGCCCTCAGCCAGTGCACACCAACAGACGCCGAACGTGCAGCTACCGCAGCCTCTGACCCGGAGCCAAGGTCCAGGGCTCACGCTCGGGACTGAGCCCCACCAGGCAGAGGGCCTCTTCATGCAGGTCCAGGGGTGGCGTCAGTCGAGCTCAATGGGGCTGCTGTCGTCCTGACTGTCCTCACCCTCCTGCTCCGAGGAGCCCATGAGGCTGCTCAGAAGGTTGCCTGGAAGCAAACACACCATCAGAGGCCACATAGCTCCCCCACCCAGCAACCCCGCCTTCCCTGGTGCCACACGCCCAATGACACACCTAAGACCCTGGAGCCCACAGTCCCGCAGCGGGAATCTTCCCCAAGGAAACACATCTGGGAGCAAAGAAAATGCTAGGACGCTGGCTGCAGGACTGGGCTCAGGGCCTTGCCTTGTCATCAGTGAGGACACGGCCCAGCCACCAGGGAAGCGTGGAGAGTTGTCACTGAAACGTCATGAAGCCCAGGGTCACCCAGAGGGAAGGCTGCCAGCCACACGCACGGGACCTCACACAGTAGTCGGCCAGCTGCATCCAAGTTTCAAAGACCACATGTAAAAAATGTCAACTGCCATCACCGATGGGTGCTGTCACCGATAGTTTTCCTTTTGACTTTAATTTCCACCCAAAGAACTTATGTCAATAGAAGCTCAAAGTTTAAAAAGTCCCCTTAAACCAACTGTATGGGGACGTGTACATGTGGAGACATGAACCACGCTCTGGACAGATGGTCATGAAGGTAAGACCTTGCTGACCTGCACCCACTGGGAGGTCAGTCCTTGTTCTGATGGAAAATACACGAGCAGACAGGACGCTGTGCTGAGGAGTGGTGTGGGGACCAAGCCCGACAGGCACTACCACAGGAAGCTGACATGTCCCCGTCTCACTGGTGACACAGCCCTCGGGGTGGGGAAGCTGCCCCCGGGTGCGAGTGTCCACTAGGCTATGTGGACATGTAACAAGTCAAACTTGTATAAAAAGAAACGGCTTTTAAAATCTCAGATGGGAAGACCTTTCTACGGAACACAATCTGTCAACAGCCGTCAAAATGACACAGCACTCACCAGCCCTGTCCCAGAGCCCCAGGAGGGGGGTGCCGTCTGGATTCAGATACACAGAGCAGCACCCCACCAGTGGCCCAGGGGAGTGTAACTCAGCCCTGTGGGATGAGTCCCTGCCTGGGCCTCCTGCTGCATCATCTGGAGCAGCCCCAGCCCCAGCGCTAAGAAGAACGAGGGGCAGTGAGTGTGTAGGACACGGCACTGCCTGTGCAGGAGGAGCCATCTGTGCCTCGAGTTCTTTCCAGAAGGAAGCTTAGGAAAATTTAATGCTGCCCAGCCCTCTAGGGTGCCCATCAAAAATAAAAGTTAAAGCCCAGCCAGGTGTGGCTCAATGGTTGCCATCGACCTAGGATCCAGGAGATCGCAGTTTGATTCCAGGTCAGGGTACACGTCCGGGTTGTGCGCTTGATCCCCCAGTAGGGGGCATGCAGGAGGCAGCCAAGCAATGACTCGTCACTGATGTTTCTCTCTCCCTCTCTGAAATCAATAGATATTTAAAAAAAATATTAAGATCTTATTAGATTATAAAAACCACCTTAAATGAAGGGCTGTACTGTCCCTGCCTGTGTGGGGGGCAGAGGGTCATGTCTAAACTATGAAGGCAGGCGGTCCACATGGCAGCATGGATCGGGGCTGAGCCAGGCGTGGCAGGATGTGGGCAGTGGCCTGGCCTCCAACACCTACCAAAACTAAATCACAATGAAACACACGCCCTGAAGAGACCCGTAGTAACAGGATCCCTTTCAAAACACCAGTGATGTTTTTTCCAGAAACAAAACGCCCTCACATTCATACAGAACCTCAAGGAAGCCAAACAGCCAAACCCCTTGAAAAAGAACCAGCCAGGCTCCTACGTCCTGGCTTCAAGGCCTCCAAAGCTACAGGAGGCACAGCTGCGTCCCGGCACAGAGACCAGGCGGACAGGCGTGCAGACGAGGAGAGCCCACAAGGGAACCACATGGTTCAACCACTGCTGACAAGGGTGCCAAGGTCACTGAGTCGGGAAAGGACAGTCTGTCGGGAATGGTGCTGAGAACACTGGCGTCCACATGGAGTGGAGCTGGACTCTCACATGAGGACACCCACGGAGACGACTAGAAATGCCCCAGGGACCTACACGTAAGACTGAAGACCACAAAACGCTTAGCTGAAACGGGGAGGCTTCAGGACACTGGGCCAGGCAAGAGTACCTGGACTGTGCCACTGAAGGCATAAAAAATAAAGTTGTGGACTTCATGAAAATTTTGAAAATCTGTGCAGCAGAAGACACTATCAACAGAATAAAAGGACCATGGGGTGGGCAGGTACACAATGGTGGAGCAGAGAGGACGTCAGGCAGAACAGTGGTCACTGCAGGTTTGTCCAGACCCCAGAACCCACACCACCCAGAGCCAGGCTGCTGCCAACCATGGGCCTGGGTGACGAGGCATCAGTGTGGGCCACTGGTAATAAATGTCCACTCTGGTGGGGAGACTGCTCTGGGAAGCTATGTGCGGGGTACATGGTACACGGGAAACCTCTGAAACTGCCTCTTAATTTTGCTGTGAACCTAAAACTGCTTTAAAAAAGCCTTACAGGAAAAAAAAAAAGGGGAACCCACAGAATGGGAGAAAATATTTGCAAATTATGTATCTGATAAGGAATTAATATCCAGAAAATACAAAGAACTGAACCCAATTCAAAAAAGGTCAAATGACTGAGTGGACAGACACACAAATGGCCAAGGAGCATGTAAGACGATGCTGACCGCCCCACACCACCAGGAGGTGCCACTCACACCTGTTAGAGTGGCTGCGATCCAAACAGCAGGATGAGAACTGGGAAGACGGGGGAAGTGGGACCTCGTGCGCTACTGGTGGGAAGGTAACTGGTGCAGCCACCTGGACATGGTGTGGAGGGTCCTCAAAACATTCGGCACAAAACTAGCATGACCCAGCAGCTCCACATCAGGGTCTACACCCCAAGAACGGGAAGCAGGTCTCAAGCAGCCACTCACATCCCAACGCGCACAGCAGTGTCATAGCCGGGCTGCCAGTGGGAGCAGCCCAGGGCCCACCACGCGTGACCGGAGGCGCACAACACACACTGCAGTTATTTGGCCGTAAAAAGGAAATTGATGGCTGCCACAGCAGGGGTCAACCCCGAGGACAGCCTGTGAGTGAAGTAAACCAGACACAGGACACTCCTGGGTGATTATTCCACTGGTAGAAGCTGCTGGGAGACAGGAGGGAGGAGGGTGGGTGGCTGGGGACAGAGAGGTCCAGTTGGTGGTTGTGGCTGCACAATGTGAATGTACTTAATGCCCCTGAACGGCACACTTAGAAATGGTAAAAATGGCAAATGTTCTATGTATTTTACCACAATAAAAACCAAAAAGAGAGTCTAGCCTCCTTTCTGTGGCCCATGGAGAGGGAGCCTGGGTGATCAATGAGGGGGTGACGGGGCCCAGCAGCAAGGCAGAGACAAGGCCCAGGCAGGCGAGTGCCAGGCACCCCCCCATCAGGCCTTACCTAGCAAGCCTCCATAGGAAGATGTCTGCTTAGGTGGCACCCCAAAGAAGAGCTGTCCTATCCTGTCGAGGTACTGGTGGAGGCAAAGGCACACGGTGAGGAGCTGCTCGAGACCCCACGGGGACATGCCCCCAGTCCTCCCATCCGCCCTCAACAAAGGCGCAC